TAGCCATGATGGTATTGGCTGAAAGACTCGTGTAAAGTTTGTCATCAGTCATTGGTGGGTTTCGATCCGTCTATAGTTAGTCAAATTGGTCGGTTTTTGGTCTATGTATTGTTAAATCGGTCTGTTAGAAGTCCGTTTGTCGGTTTCGTTTCGTTTGAGCTACCTAAAGTCCAAAAATCGATTGTCAACTGTCAACTGAATCAGATACATGCAAGTCGACGGCCCCTAAATGGTGCACAAGTCGACCGCGCGGTGTAAAGGCCGATACACACGAGGGGTTTTGCTCCATGAGCAAGCTGCAGGGTAGTACTTTATCTCAGCAATATCTGAGTAACGCAAGTGACTTTTAATGTAATAAAAAATAAATAAATAAATAAATAAAAATAAAAATAAATGCTCCAGGGTCAATTTGCACGACTAGTACACACAGGGGAGCATAAGGTAAGAGTTTGCCCCATATATTATGGTACACTCGAGAAAGCGTTTTTAAGTTTGTTCAATTTGCCTCGGGATCTTGCTCCCAAATATTTAACCGGTTTAATGTTCCGGAGCATTTTGCAGGGTGGAAATTCTGCTCCCAAGAGTGAATTACGCCCACGAAATCGTTGGTACACACGGAGGAGCTTTGCTCCAAAAGCGGGGCCCTGGACCAAAACCCAGGAGCAAAACCCCTCTTGTGTTTCGGCCTTAAGCTTGGTGGCATTGAAAAGTCGAGAAGATGTTTTGTACTTTGCGCTTGTCGAATTTCAACCTTCGCTGGGGCGCCTGATAATGCTTTTTACCTAGCGGATCACTCATTAACCAGTTTGGCCCCAGTGAGACTTCCGGTATTTGCGTTTTAATAAATATGTTAAACAGGTCCAAGACTTGTTTTGTAATTAATTGTCTGATATCCGGTTATATGTCAACAACAGGTGGCCATGGCTAACGCGGAAGAATCCTCGATCGAAACGCTAAAAAAATATTGTTATCATTCTCTACAGGCAGATGTATAATACGCCTTACCGCATAGCGGCTGGGACTTGTATAAGCCTCGTAAAAGCTCGCGGAAACAATCAGAGAAAAGCGTATCAGTATTATAAACGCGACTTGTGCTTTCTAGCTCAGCTACATTCCTCCAGTTTGATTAATGCAATCCCTCGTCTAGTATGCTTACTTTGCTATTCATAAATTCTTCGGAATTCAGTCATTTAAGACAATTATTTGCGATCGAATTCTCATACAATTTAATTTCTGATACATGTTGCCTACCCGTCAAGATAGCTTCCAAAACCGTGATAAGGTCTATTAATGCAATGATTCACGATCTCCTTTGAATGAACTAAACGAATAAAATAATTTCAAGGGCAATAAGTTACTTGTCTGAGATCAAATATTCTGTGTCTCTGTGAACCAAAGCAACATGAAGCATTAATACTGATGCGGTTTAAACAACCGGTGATACCGCGCCAACCGGAAATAAAATAAAATAAAACCGAAAGTGGAGTCACTGAAGTGATCTTTTGCATTTCTATGTTGATCTGCAGTTTTGTGAAAGAATGATCAAAAACCTGAAGAAAATTTCCTTCAAAATGCCAGAATTTGATAGCAGATGAAACGACTTTCGACTAAAACGACGGCATTTAATTCCTCATTTTCTCGGAAATCGGCTTGTCTCCATTTGAACCAACACTATATTCTCTCCATAAACCAAATCAACAAAAATTGCAATATATATGTCAGTCCAGTTCCATATTTACTAGCTTGAGGATGGCGACTTCCTACCTGGGTATATCTGCTCGCTTAAAGTTAAACGTTGAAAATATACTTGAACTGAAAAGTGAAAGAAACGTAATTGAATAATAGATTTGTACATGTACCTCGAGCCTCATGTACTGCGGTGCTGTTGTTTGCTTCAAGCGATCTACTGCAGTATTTTTGTCGAAGAAATAAAGGGTTGATAGATTTCCAATTAATCCTGCGACACCCGGACAATTTTCAACGTCTTGCAACCAGTAGAATAAAGCTAAATCTTCACCAGAAACCAACTAATATCTCCGAAACACTCTCCACTGTCACACCGCGTATCACGTGTATGCAAATGACTTCGAGACAGGCTGTTTGTTTATCCGGGAATTTTCCCTCGTTGCCAGGTCGGTCAAGGATGATTGGTGTTATATCAATATTTTAGACCTGATCTTTAGCAACTGTACAATTAGCCGGACATTTTTCCTTCACTACTGTTAAACAAATTGATCTGTACGATAAAAAAAAGGTGTTTGCCAAAGATGTATCTTCTAATAAAATACTGCGTGACAAGAGTGTGAAGCATCATCACCAAATATGATGACGAAACCGAAACCGAAAGAAATAAAACTCTTTTAGGAGGGTTTTTACCCTGGCTTTGTACGACAAACAAGAATTGAAAGGTTCAACGCCCTTACAGATCCAAATGACCCACATTCCAGATATAATTGCGTAGCATTTTATAATATTTACATCAAAATGTTTAATAAGATTTAGACAACAATTTTTTTTTTCAAATTTCAAGGGTAATACAATAGGACACCACTATCCAGATTTTAATGTTGAGATGGACATATTTTATACACTCTTTCATTTAACTACCAGCTGCCAGCCAAAACAGTGAAAAATTTTTAACACAACTTAAACTTAACGCAGAATCTCTCTTTGCACGAGCACACAAGCAGGAATAGACTTGATTTTGGGGATGTACTACCGGATAAGGAATACGTCAACGTGCGCGCGCACCTAAACCAGAATTTTTTTTATATTATTATTTTTTTATTTCGCGAAGCCCGATATTCAAGCAACAACAAAGCGAATATGGCGTGTGCTGTCTTGCGGTTGAACAACCAAATTTCAAAAGTAAACATTCAAACGCACCCACTTATCCCTGATTACTCCTAGTTTGTGTTCGGGCCGCTAGTGTACGCGCCGACCGACCTGATCGGCCCCTGGCACATCTAGGGCTTAAAATGTCGGTTCAAGGCAGTATGAACATACTGATTAGGAGACGTCAGAGGAACGTCATGCGAATTACAATGAGACAATCCGGGAGGGAGGGGTGTGGAGAGAACACTCTAGTCCGGACCTTCGATCAACTTGTTTGATTAAAGATCAAATGAACCAAAATTTAGACATCTTTTCTTCGGCCATTTTATAGCGACGAAATGTTAAACAAAAGCATGTAAAAGGAAACTTATGCGGAAATTTTTCTTTCTGAACTGTGGAAGAGAGTAAAAAAGTTAAAAGTACGAAGACAGCCTAAGGTTTCACGAAAACGTTTCCAAAATGACCGCGCACTTTAATGGAAGGAATGGAACTAAGACTCTGCTTTGTGACGTCATTGTTGTCTTGAACATTG